ACAAATTTTTTTGTAATAATAAAATAGTAATTATACAAATAGTTAATTAACGATTACAAATTAATTTTCTTGGTTTTAAATTATTCTAAGAATATTCAATAATTTCCAATATGTTAAAAATAAAATATTATTATCACTTATTTTAATTAATCATAGAAATAAAAATAATAATAATTAAATTCGTAATATTTAATTTATATTTGTTAAGTATAAATATAAATATAAATATAAGTATAATTTTTTTATAATTTTCTCATTATTTTTCTGCGAATTGATTGTATTCTGCAAAGAAATATACAATTTCATCATATGTGCAAATATTATACAATTATAATATTATATACTATATAAAAAAGAATTATAATATTGTATACTATATAAAATATAAAATTTTCATCAAAACAACATTACATTTTATGCTTGCTTTATTTTCTAATTTTAAAACTCGATAAACAATTCAAAGAAAATTACAAATAAATGGTGTATTTCTAAAAATAAAATAATATATATAATTAAAAAAATATATAATATAAATAATAAGAAGATTTATAACTTATAATTAAGTATAATCAATAAAAAGAAACTTATTATATATAATTAGAATTTAATATTATTATTATATAATTAGATTATTATATAATTAATCTTATTATTATATAATTAGAATTTAAGTAATACATCAATTTATGTAGAGATATTTAATTAAATGTAATTGCTTATAATTTTAATCTTTTTAAATGCAATAGAATAAGAATATGAGTAGAAAATATTTTTAACATTCATTTATAAAATACGCGGTGTTTATGAAAATTTTTTTATTTATGCAATTGCATGCAATATTATTAAGATAATAAAAAAAATAGATGTACACACAATTACGAGTATAATGTACATATATCTGTGTCAATCGTAATAGAACAATGGTATTACAATAGCCGCATACCATAGTTTTGTTTCCTTGAGCGTCTTTTTTTACATCTTTGTTAAGAGTGCACCACTATCTACGATATAGACAGATCGATAAATGATATAGCATGACTTTCACAAAGATTGATCATTATATATTCAGTTAACTTTAGACTGTCTTTTTCTATTTTTCTTTTCAATATATAAAAATTCAATCAGTTTGATATTTCATATAGTCAAAAATCATTTTCGTAATCTCTAAGTCAAGTTTTAAAATTGTATATATTAAAACTTTCTGTAAATATTTCTTTCATTTTATGTTTCATAATAAATAAATTTTATAAAATTGAATCATAGAATTTTAAAAAACAACATATTTAACTATTTAATAAAATATCGTTTATAAAATAAATTTTAAATTAAAATTATATAATTTATATATTTATATATAATTATAGTAATTTTAATAAACAGCAAGAAAAGATACAAAATAGATACTCATGATAGCTAAGAAAGATTGAATAAGACATTGAATTGTGTCCAAATTATACTTAAGTTATATAAATGTAATTCTATTTTAAAATATTTATTTTTAAAAAATTGTTACTTTGCAGCCAAATACATAATTTATACAGAGATTCATAGAAAAATCACTATTAATATTCCTTTTATTCTTTTCGCTAAGAATTTGTGTTTAAAAAATGAAAATAAATCTAAAAACATGAGATATTTTTATTCAGTATAATGACATTACAAACATAGATTATTTTTGTCGACTTTATGTGACATTTATTGCACATTTATTGTTTTTTATTGTCATTAAATTACTTTATACATTGAAAATTTATGATATTTTATACATTGAAAAACTTATTTCAGGGATTGTTTATGTATGATAAATAAAACAAAAATTGTAATTTTTAATTTCAAATGAATTAAAAATGTTAAAATAAAGAGAAAAAATATGATAAATAGTAACGAAAAATAAGTATTTGTACATCTATAGATTAATTCAATATGTCAATATTGAATAAATAATGTTCAATATGTCAATATTTTTTTATTTTACAAAAAATAAAATTCTATATTTCTACATTCTATATATATAATATATATAGAATAATATAATTTTTAATATAATCACTTATAATTTTTATAATAGTTCTTTATGAAATAAAATATATTCCATAAAACATGTTGTTTAAAAAATATAACTTCTATAATATTTTATTTATAATGTATTTCTTGTAATTCATAGTTCCTTTTTATCTAAAAATCTTTTTAATTAAAATGTTTTTAAAAATACATTTTGTGAATCTATATTTTCTCAGAAAATTTTAAGTAAAGCAGTATTATTATATAGTTATATTATATAGTTGAACTCATTCAATTTATCAGATATATAATAAATAAATTTTAAACTTTGATACATGATAAATTGTAAGAATACTAAAAAATGCAAAAAAATTTGTATTAGTCAAAATAAATTATAAATCTTATATAATAAAAATAAATATTTTTAATTTTGAAATAATAATTTTCATAAACAATACAAAAAATATAATTAAAAGATACAAGAAAATATATTTACGATAAAATATTCACTGAAATGATATATCCTTGATATGTACATTGATACAAATACTTATTTCTTAACAAAGGAATGATATTGATTTCTTCATTTGTACCGATACATTACAATACCTCGAATAGTATATCAAGCTCTGTTGAAAAAATTTTTAGAATTACATAGTATATATTTTTAAATATTTAAAAAAAAAAACATCTTTTGTAACTAATTATATTCTAAAAGAAAAATATAAAATATAGAATATAGAATAAACAAGATTAGCAAATAGAAGTTTCAAGTTTATATAAACGCTCACAAGTGAGAATCAAAAAAATTTCGAATTAATACTAATTATTTTTAATCAATTTCCTTTTGCATAAAATATCTATTACTATTATATATCTATTCGTTGTAATAACGATACCTAAAATATATAAAAATGTAATTAAAATTAAAATATATAGATTAAAATGTAATGAATCATTACACTTATATTAATTAAATTAATTATACGTATAAATCTAACTAAAAACATATTTTTTATTTTTTTTTTCTGGAACATGTGAAAATTTTTTCAATATTCGATACAAAATATTGTGCAAATATTTTCATCATTACAGTTTAATTATACAACAACATAATATAACAATCTAACATAAAAATATTATAACGATTAATTATAACGATCAAAAATAATATATAATAATTAATATAATTTTTCACATTTGAAAATGAATTAAAAATAATTCTGTCAATGTAATTCAATTGAATTGAATTGAAAATTCAAGATTCGATAATAAAATAAGAGAGAGAAACATTGTTTACTATCTATTCGTTACAATAACGATATTATATTACATTATATCAAAAAGGAACAAAATTTACATAATTTACGTAATAAATTTTTTGATGTAAAAAATTATTTGAATTATCCATTTATAAAACAATTTATAAACAATTATATAACAATTTAATTATTAAAAATAAATAGAATAATACATTTTAAGATAAAATTAATTTCTGTTTTATAAATTTAAAGAATTTTTAGTACAAATATGATGTTTTTTTGCATGATTGATAGACATATCTAAATTATTTACAATTTAGATAACAAATTGCAATTTTTAATAATTTAATAATAATTGATTTGTTTATATACTTATCTTATACTTTTTAGCTGTATACTTTTCACGTTTTAATAGTCAAACTCGAAGTCTAACCAAGTCTGATATTGCATGATTATTGCATAATTATTCTAATATAATTATATTTGTCTGTAATCTAAGAAATACATGATTTAGTAATATACTAATTTAATAATTTAGTAACAATATCATAAACTAATAAATTAATGCATTTATATATATTGTTTATACATATATGTATATATATATATATATATGATAAAATCGGTAATATTATAATCAGTGCATCATCCTGCATTGAATGGTTTCCTCTTTTAATGCGTCATAACTCTTATAATTCCCCTGTAGTCGATGCGAACATTTTTTTTAACAAGTATTTTCCTGTTGCCTACTATTACTTCTTCCGATCAAATATATTAAAAAATTTTTTTTTATTTATATCTATTTATAAAAAGAATAAAACAATATAAATAATAATTAATAATATATTATATAATAATATAGTATTTTATTATTTATTATTATTTTACTATTATTTTGTTGGAAAATGATTTTTTAAATATTATACAAATTAATAATTTTTTAATATTATACAAATTAAAATTTTCACTCGCCCTCTTCTTTTTTCACGCATTCTTTTAACTATGAAACGAAACTGCAATATTTGCAATTTTATAGCTAATATTTCTGAAAATATATTTTTGAAAATAAATATTTACAAATTGTATTACATGTAATAATAAAAATATAGTGTTTCGAACGTTAGACATTCATTTAGTATCATATGTAATAATAATAACAAACGGAAATTTTTAAGTAAATATGAAAAATATTTAAAATTTCATCAGCAATGCATATAAATTTATTCAACTTCAAATAGTATTCTCGAATTTCATGTATTTTTACTAAAATCAATATATGAATGAATATCGAAAATTGATTAATACATTTTTTTTATACAATTTTCATTGAACAATAATAATAAATAATTTATATTATTATATATAATTTATATTTTTTATTATGTGCAAATATAAATGATTAAATTTTTGTAATTTATAATATATATGTAATTCAAAGTATAAAATTGAAATATTGCCTGTATTGAATAAAATATAATATATAGAATTATTTTTACTTAACAATATATTGGTTGTTGTTGTGTTCGATGCAGCATGGCGGACAGGAAGTAACTACTCGAAATTTTATGAAATGCTATTTAAGTAAAAATGTTTGCATGAATTAAATATAATATTTTTAATTTACTTAATAACTACAGTTACTAATATTATTTATAATCTCTAATATTTATACACAAAGTTATAAGAATAACAATTTTTAAATTGCAATAGTTCAGATAGTTTGAATTAGTGGTTCTACTGAACTATCGTTGTCGTCACTTCCGCGTTCACGACGTTGCCAAATCGACCATTATTTCATCTGCGAAAGAAAAAGTACTGCGGTGTAGTGTTATACTTGAGCTGTTTCGTGTCAGTTAAAAGTTAGTTGTGTTGTGTTGTGAAAGAATAAATTATGACAAATTTGATAAAAAATATAAAGCGACTGCCTTGGGCATTCGTTAAATAACACACACTCTTATACGAGGTGAATACCAGGCTGCTAATCAATCTTTACAAATAAAATCTACTGTGTTTTTTCCATGCAATAGGTAAACTAATATTTTCAGGAATGATGTGTTTTGATACATAAAATTAATTTGAATTAGCGATTAAAAAACTTCACTTTTTTATCACTTTATTGAATTCTTTTCTATTTTGCTCATCTCCGACATGTTTAAAAGCTGTTTTCAAACTTTTTTATATTAATATATTTTTATGTACATTGTTTCCTCATTGAAATTATAAAAAATCGTAGTTTGGCAACAGTTTATGAAAAAAAAATTATAATGAACTTTACTTTATTCATATACAACATATATTAACATATTATAACACTTATCAGGTGAAACAAAAAGTGATGTTTATGAATATTTATATGATATTAATGTATTAAATTTATTATTAAATAATTTAAAAATTATACTTTTGATTACTATAAAAAGAATGTCAGATATTTTACTTTTATTTCATATATTGATGTTTAGTCACTTGTTTCATACTATATTTTCTAATATATTCTTATTAATTTTTAATAATATATTATTATGAAACAATAATATAAAATATTATATAAACTTGCTTAAATGTTAAAATTTTTAATTGAAAATTATCAAATATTTAATCAAATTAAAATATGCAAAATATGATACAAAACTGTCTTATCATTCATGATTTCGTAGAATGTATTTTAGATAAATTTGGATTGTTTTTTAATAAAATTTTTCATTCATTCACTTGTAATATTAAATTATGTTTTTAATTTATTTATATATGTATATGTGTATGTATGTGTATATTATATTAATATTGTTTAATTTTATATTTATTTAAATTTGTTCTTTTATTTTAGGTTTTTTTTATTTCTAATTTTTTTCTTATTTTCAAAAATTGTTTACCATAGAATAATACAATATATGTGTTTTAACATATATCATATGTATATAACATATGTGTATAACATTTTAATATAACTACATAGATTTTTTTATTATTAAACATATAATTTTTTAATCAAATCTATGAAATTTAAATAAATGAATAAAATAATTTAAACATATTTAAAAATGGTATTTAAATTATTATTTAAAACATTTTTTTATTTTAATAATCATAATTAAATTTTAAAATATGAGTTAACATAAAATATTTAATTTTTTTAATATTTATTTATATTAATCAAAAAAATGATAAAAATATATTAAATAATATATTATATAATAGACATGAAAAATAATTATTAATATAAAATTTGTAATTATAATTTTTAATTAAAAGAAGAATTTACAAAAATTGATTTTCATAAAAGTTTTGTCTAAAATAATCGTCCCATTTGATTGCTATTAAAAATTTTTTAGCATACTTTACAACAAGTCCCTTATTACAGAAGATTAGCTGATGTGAATTGAACACACCTTGAAACACAGAAAATTGAAAGAGAAAAACACTGAGAAAAAGAAAACATATATAATATGCAGCGGATGTGGTTTATAGAGAACAAAGAGGACGGGGAATACAAGCAGCAAGAGGAGCCACGTGAGACTAACTTCATCGAGGTGGCAACTGAACATACATCAGACATGAGGGGATCTAAAAGAGATTGGATTTTTAGAGTCCAAGTAATTAATAATAATTTTTTCACTATTTTAACTATATTATATATTATAATTTTTTAGTACTTTTAATTTTCTTATAAACTTATTTAATTAGGTACATAAAATAGAAAAAAATGAAGTTTTGTATGTAGTGGGTAATTTGCCTGAACTGGGTGCTTGGAATCACAATCAGGCAATTCAGTTGTCACAGGAACATGGCAGTCGGGATTCTCCTATACTTTTTGACAGTAATAGTAGTGGAGAATTTTATAGTGACGATGGACATGACAATGCTGGAGATAATTCATTTGGTGATATAGATGATGAGTAAGTATATTTTATGTATTTCATTCCAAATACAATAAAGTTTTATTGATAATATTTATATTAATATTAAAATATTAAAATATTAATATTAAATATTAAAATATTAAAATTAATATTAATATTAATATTAATATTTATATGTGATCTATATTATATTTAATTATAAATAATAATATATTTATATAATATATTTATTTCATTTAATATATTAAATATATGTATAAAATTTAATTATTGAAAATTATAGCATATATAAAATTTATAAATTTCAGAGGTGGAAGAATATTTTCACAAAAAGTTGCACTTCCCATTGATGCTGATGTAGAATTCCGATATTTTGTTGCTGTCATCTGTCATTCTAATGGTACTAAAAATTCGGCCAAGACTCTTATTATTCGTAGATGGGAGACTCATATGACACCACGCTTTATTAAGAAAAATAGTATGTAATCTAATATATAATTAATAATGAATTTAAAAATAATATTTTTTATCATAAATTATAAAATTAAATAAAAAAATTTGTTATAGCACCTAGCAATTTTAGTAGTGACACATTGCCTGATCCAGACAAATTTGGTTATTATAATGGCTACTGTAAAATTGAACGAGGCTGGTTGACCGATGAAACTGTGATACAATTTAAGCTTTTTAATAATCCAATTAAGTTATGGAAAAATCGACTACAAAATAGAAAAGTTCACATTAAAGTATGTTTTTAATTAATCACATACTTGAAAATTGATATATAAAATTTGAAAAATTAAAAGTATTTTTTTAATTTAGATGACACCTGTAAATTTAATTAGACACAATTCTTTAGAATTGCAACAATTTGGTGGTGATTGTGTAGATGATAGTCTTTCTATGGATACGCAAGATATTATTGATCAACCTGCCTTTAGTATTACAGAAGTTGCGGTATGATGTCACTATATAATTATTATATAATTTTATATAATATTATTATAAAATATTATATATATAATTTTTTATATATTTTTTTGTATATATATATATATATTTTGCTATCAAAATCAATTATCATATTTGTTTTTGCAATAATATTATAATTATATAATATTAAATATATTTTTAATTTTAGGTAATGAATGATGAAGAAGCTCGTTTCAAGATACAAGAACAATTTGGTCGAGCTTACAATGAAGACGAATTTATTATCTTCAATGTTGCAGTTCGATATCCTGAAACTATTGTAAGTAATCATATAAAATATCTCATCAAGAAATCATAGTAAATACACAACTCGATGAATAACCATTGGTTGGTGTTTATTGCTTATAATTCTTATAAGCAATATATTATATATATTATATATATTACATATATTTATCTAGGATAACTTTATTTCAAATCAACTTTCCTGTCTTTTATGGATAATTCTGCAGATGGAAATCATATCAAAAACATTAATTTTAATAATTTATTCATTAACTGTAGAAAAATTCAAATAATTTAAAAATAAAAAATATGTGATGTGATTTTCAATTCATTCTAAAATTAATGACAAAAGTACATCTTTATTCAAAATAGTAAATAAATGGCAAATAAATAAATACGTAAAAATTAATCAAAATTATGAATATGGCAGAGCAATAAATGACGAACTATTGGTAATTCAGATAAGAAAGACACGCTAAAAATACGCATTGACCATACCATGTGAGTTTTCAGTAGACCACGAGTAGGCCGGCCACGTCTTCTTTCGCGACTTGTTCAAATTACTTGGTAAAAAATAATTAAACTTGTTCAGCAGCTATTGCCCTCCTTGGAAACCAGAAGCGATGTCACGCGCACTGGCCTGGAATGAAGACAACCGTCAGCTTTGTACAAAGCAAGATCTCTGGTGCAAATGATGATGCTAACATGCAATCTGATGTATCGATGCTAAGCATCGTCTACCACTTTACATCTGTGTCACATGACATCACACAGAGATATGATGGTTTTGATTGTCGTTAACCCTACCATACCTATCCTTAGGCTGATCTCTCATAAATCTGTAAATTTTTTCCAAATATATCATATTATTATCTAAAGTCTGGATTTTATAAGACAATTTATTTATTATATTATATTATTATACGAGATCGATTTATACGAGTTACAGCCATCCTAAATAAACCTAAAAATTTAGAGATATCAACGCTGTCACACCTCATATCCATCTGTGTGCGTCGAAAATGGTGAGGCTCCCATCACTCCTATATCCTTTTAGTGTACTACTAATATTTTCTAGCTCTGACCAACTCTACTGTACCGTACGTGACACCGCTGCGCGGCTAGTGCCAGACTAAGCTGTCAGAATCTTCTAAATCTGAATTACAAACTTTACAGACTTGATATCGAAATTTAATAATGAATGATCGGCAGGTGTTGCGGGATACGCGTCACCAGGCAGAGTACAGCATTTGGCAATTATTGGTCTGGTTCATTGCTAGATTATGTAGGAAATAAATTATCTTTGTTTTACTAGTAATTTGTTGCTCTTGTCTATAAATTACTTAAAACTGCTAAAAAATTGATAAAAGTTCAAAAGAACAAGATGTACAAATGTCTTTTATAATATAGTTTAATTCCTACGATTTTTAGTGATCAAGGATCGTTAATAATGTGCCATAAATTTTGATTATATTTATTAGTAATTTTCTTGTTTCTCAGATTAGAAAATTCAGAAAAAAGTTTCTTCAAACCAATTGTCCTTGATCATTGGACTTAATTAATTGAAACAAGCTCTATAATGGATAAGCAAAAAAATATTGATGCAAGCATTTGGTGTTGTTATAAGTAATAGTATTTTTCCGTATATACTGAATAGAATGTTTTTTCAGGCTTATTTGGTGGACTACTACGTATACAGCTCAAGATGTTTTCCAGGAGAACCACCAAGTCATATTGGTTTCAGCTATATTTTACCTAGTACATTACAATCAAGTGTTGGGCTTCTAACAGTACCAATTACAAGCACAAAGCATAGACCAATTGGTATGATTTTTATTTTGGTTTTTCTTTTTATTTTGTTTTTTAATACTAAAAATCATTATCAATTACTATAAATAATTTTTCTTTTTTCTGCAGGACAACTTACGTTAGAATATGTTGTGATAAAATCAATTCCAGATTATCCATGGGATATGAGTATTTCATATGCTAAACATTGGGAACAACGGTGGTCTGGCCTAGATGTAGGACATAGGGGATTAGGTACTTCTTTTCAAACAAAAAAGTATGTTAATATTTTTAAATTAAAAAATTTAAAATCATTAAAAATTTAAAATTTTGTTAAAATTATTTTGAATGCTAAAGTTTATATTTTTATTTATCTGTTTATTCAGCTGTGCTAATGTGCGTGAAAATACAATAGCTTCTTTAAAGACTGCATCATATCATGGAGCTGATATGGTTGAATTTGATGTCCAATTATCTAAAGATCACATACCGGTTATTTACCACGATTTTTATGTGTCTATTTCATTAAAACGCAAGAAACAAATAGAAGCTATGGATATGCTAGAAATACCTGTTAAAGATCTTACATTAGAACAACTACATCTATTGAAGGTAATTTTAAATATGAACATATATATATATATATGATTTCTAAAATATGTATTTAAATTTGAATGATATTTTCATTCATATCATTGTTTCATAATTATAATTACAAATTTCAACATTTACAATTTAATGTATTTTATTTTTTCTTTTATTATAAAATATTTATATTGTGTAAACACGCGAAAAAAGTTAAAAGATTTTTTTTAATTATAAAAATATATAAATGATACAAAAAAATATTTTAAATTATATATCAAGAAATAAGTATTAATTTCATGTAAAAAGTGTTAATCAAAGAATTATTATATACTTTTAATTACTTAATAATCTTTCAAAAAATTAATAGGATTCATGGTTCATCTAACAATTTTCATTTATCATTAACCAATAAAATGCAGCTTCTTAATAATGCTACGCGTGTTAATATCGCTTTTTATGTCCTTTTTTGTATTAAAGGAAAAATCAATCACTTCAAGGATTGTATCGTATGTAGATACACAGACATGAAATCATGAATTTATAGGTGTAACATACCTATTCGTATTTGTCTCTTTTTAATATTCAACAGGATTTTTATTACCCGGGGGACTCGTTGGGTAAGGTGCTGTATTTCGTTGATAAAGCTGAGCAGGGGGTTAACCAACTGGTGAGCTTTCATACCGCTTGCGCCGCCTAACTCGTCGTCAAAATGTATAACCAATTAGTTATTTATAAAAAACTCGATGCATGCTATTTAAAATTTATTCTAAAATCAACTAAAATTAATTTTTAAAATCATATCATCGTGTCACAATATCGTACATTATATGCTTTAATTAAAAGCTAAAAGCTTTATCTTATTATAATATTATAAGTTATTAAAGTAATTCAATTGAAAAATATTTTTTATCAATATAATATCACCAAACAATCTTTTGCAAAGATGCTTTAAAGATCTTGAAGATCATTTTTAATAATCTTTCACCAGTTTTATTTCCCTCTGACTTCATATATTTCGCACAAGCGCGAAATTCTTCATCGAAAAATGTATACACATTATAAAAAAAACATATTATCACAGCATGTGAATAATATCATGAAAGGCATGATATTACTTTTAATATATTCACATGACTTCAGAGTGTTTGCTTTTGTTTGGCTTCAAAAAATCTCTTATATCAAATATCGACAACATTTACCTTTTTATGATCTAACAGAGTTTCGTTGACGGAATGATTTACTTTATTTATTTTTTTATTAAATACATTTTTTTTACAGGTGTATCATGTGGCTGAAGGTCGAGAAAAAAATCCAAGATTTTTTGATGAAGATTTAGAAGATCATCAACCTTTTCCTACCCTTCAAACTGTTCTTCAAGAATTAGAACAACATGTTGGCTGTAATATCGAAATTAAATGGACTATGCAATTAAAGGTAAAAATAATAAGTTTATATACTTATTTTGTATGATTATTATTTTCTTATGGAAATTGTATATATATATATATATAT